CCTTTACCAGGAATTAGACAGTGCTTTCTTCTATGTATCCATATGTAAAGATTCTTACGGGGTTCCCTAGCTGACCACTGCAAAAGAAGATTTGATGTTGTACTCATCTTTGCTCTTTATAATGTTTGCACTCTTTGACGTCTTTTCATCGCAGGATAAAACGAATGGGTGGTATGAAGGAATCTCAGATTAGTGCTGAAATTGACCTTATGGCCACCAAGGAGAACAAGAAATGGGCCAGACCCCCAATATCTCTCAACTTTGAGGTACTGTGAACTGCACCTGTGAGGTGTTAAACCCATAACAATAGTTTACCTGTAATGATACTTGTGTTACCTTATCTTTTTACCCGGGTGCTTACCATGGTAATGTTACTTTCAACTAGTAGTCCATGGCTAAAATTTTTGGCTTGCGGAAACCTGCTTGATTTAGCTCCTTTAGGGCGTATTTGGATAAAGTGTTGTGAAACCAAAACCAGTTAAACCCAGTAACTAATAAGAGCAAAGGAAAATATCACTAGGAGGTAATAAGAAATTATAGTTTAAAAAAAGCGAACTGCCTGAAGCGCGAGAAAACGCGAGTGATCTAGTTGCCAGTGGTTGTTACTTTGCATCTGATAGAAAGCGGGAGAAATTTTTAGAGGGTGGCTTGGTAAAAGTGACCGAGAAGTATTTGGGAGGCGTGGGTCGGAATCGTATCGAACCGTGAATCTTTCCAAGCTTCTTTCTGCAATTGCTAAGATTGCCGCTGACTGCGAGGATCACTGCTTCTATCGCGATTCTGTCCTGTTCAACTATAGATTACGCCAAAATTTTGAAAGGCCAAAAAGGGAAAAAAATTCACAAGAAATCGTGAAAAATCCCTGGTAAAGACCAGTCGCCGAACGCATATCATTCATTTAACGTAGAGCGACTGGCGTAGTTTCCTTCTTTGAGATGTCACGCAACACTCCCTCAAACTGTGTCAAAATATCAGCTTTGGGGAGCACTGCGTGGTCTAACTAAAGAAAAGCTGCAAAGTCGACCACAGATGATTTTAAAGTACCTTTTTTATTTATAACTTTTTAATTGTTTGATTATAATTTACTTTAGGTTCCATTTGCTTGTTCTGGATTAAAGGTTCGTTATCTGAAGGTGTTTGAACCTAAACTGAACTACAGTGACCATGACACTATCAAGTGGGTTCGATACATCTCCAGATCAGGGCTGTACGAGACTAGATGCTGAACCTAAACACGTAGATCTAAATATATTAGATATGATTCCATTCACTGGCGATCGTTTCTGTCTGTTTCAATAAACCGCTAGCCTTAATTAACCCCTTCACTCCCAAGATATCATTAAGTAATTCTCCTTACTGTCTGGCGTCTAATACTTTTGATATTAGCCCCGAGAATTTGGTGCTGGATCAACGGATGATCCTTTACTATTTGTTCTCTTTATTCTCATCACTAGTCTGCTTGATTTTACATTGATATTGTAAGGAGAAATTCTGTCTTGGTCTCTAATGGGAGTTAAATAATCAAACTTTTTGCTTAAAAGATGCTACGAGATAGCAGTCGAAGGCGTTTGGTTCACAGTATGTTGCAAGTAAATCTGGGAAGAAAACCTTTAAATAGCAAATGTTTAGAACAAAATAATTACAAGGGAATAAGAGTAAAAGGAACAAGTTTGGATAAAGATGCAGCAGATTGACTCGGATTGCAAATGAGTTATTCAGAAAGTTAAGAATGTGGACATGGCTTTTAGGTGTATAGTATATGACGTGAACTCATTTTTGGAGGGATTTTTAGGAAATTGGTGCGATAATGTCGTTGGGCTGGGAGTAAAGCGTAGAATACTTGTTTTACTTTGGTCGGAAACTGTCAACGGTTAGCATTTGAGTGACATAGTTGGCAAGGTTGGTGGTATTATTCCCCTTGTTAATCAGTGTATTTAGCACAAACTAATGAAAAGTCACCAGAAAATGTCTTGCTGTCTCACTAATTAAGATAATTCCGCTTTTTGCATTAGCTCTTTCCTTGACTTCTCTCCCGGTTAAAATCTAGCATGTAAGTTTTAGGAAAAGAGGTTTTGTCACGCAATTATTTGTCATGAGTTTTTTCGTCTACATGTTCAAAGTCTAGAAAAACCTGTTATGGAAAATCTTATTAAGAAAACGTGCCTGAGTCAATTTACCCTCATTTATTTTTTGCTTATTTTATCAAGCGATATGCTGCAAGAAAACTTCCTTTATTTTATTATTCCGAAATACTGCATTGCTTTTTTTTATTATAGTCTTCTACGAAAGACAAAAATCCGATCTTTTCCTAAGAAAACGCTATCAATCAAGTTTTTTTTTTTGCATTTTTTATCATGCCATTTTTCTTACAAGACCTAGAACTGTGTTCCCATTTTCAATCTTAAACTACAGAAGTACTTAAAAAGCGCTGGCTGAATGGAATATAAATTGCAATTCAATGTATGTAGATACCTTTGATAGGAAGATCAAAGTAGGTTCATAAAATCAACTGTTTTCTGTACACTTGTCCTACTCTTCGTTTTATTTTTTAATCAATGTGTTATCACTTATTTTCTATCTGTTTACACTTAAACAGGAGAGAATTGTGATGTAATCTTTCAAAGTGGAAATCATCTTTCCAGACGTACACCTTATTTGAACACGTGACTAGAGACTGGACTTGCAACTCTTACCCGGCATCCTTTGCGAATATTTCGTAGTAAGGGCGTCGCCAATTTTAGCGAGAGCTTTTGCAACTTGCGATATGTCAACAGAAGTTTTCTCTGTCACTCCAGAAGTTAGCGAAGGAGATGTCAAGCTTTCGTTTGGTTTTGTCAGTCGATTTCCAACCTTCTTTTCCATGTTGTTCTGTGAAATTTCCTCGTTCAAATCGAACTGAATAGGAGTATTTTCCCCTCTTTTGAAGTCAAGCCGCGACTCTTTTTCACTTCTCCCTCTTCAAATTTTCCACGATGATTCAAGCGACCCAAATTAAAGGCTCTCCGTTACTTTTTCCACTTGAGGTTTCAAGGCATGTGGTGCGACTTGGAGCATACGCAGCAGTAATTTACAGGCGATCACCAACTTCAAACACACGGCCAACTAAGGGTTGTTTGTCTGAGCGGCATTGTAACTCATGCAATGAACTGCAATCAATTTTATGAGGAAATTTACCAGCAGGAATCAACAATATTGTAGTTAGATGAATTATGCAGTAAGCGCGGCATACAAAAGAGAATAACTGATAGATAGGCTTGTTCAAGAAGTGAACGGATTCTCGTCAAAACAAGGGGAAAAAATGTCCCCTGCAGCAGCAAAACTTATGACAGGGACTATATTGGCCTTTTACCTTAAGTATTACCTAGATTTGTTTACAAAACCCTGCGTTGCTTGCCAAACTTTTATTTGCGTGATGGCAGACGAATTGCCAACGGGCGTTTTCGTTGAGTGGGGAATGGAGATGAGCTGTTTTGTGCCGCCTAAATTCTAGCCGCTCTGTCAAACCGTACATTAAACGAACAACAACCAAACAGCAATACCGCCAACAAGGCCTACCGCGCTTACATCTGCAGCGCTTCCCTTCGAGAGGTGAATCTCCTTTTTTTTTTTTTTTTCTTTTTTTTTTCGCTTTTTCTGCCTTTGTGTCAAACCGGCATGAAAAATAATAACAGCGTCTAATTGACCTTGGGGAGTAAAAATCCCTAAAATTGTCGTCTATTTCGAACTCCCTGTTGAGAGAATCCTAACCTTTTGATGAGTTGATTAAAGCTGAAAGAACAACCTCTAGCTGGTCTCAACGAGAGTTCAACAGTAAATTTTTATACCTCCAACTTTCTATAATCTTCTCGAACACAGGAAGCGTAAATTAATGCGAAAGGACTATATTTTTTTCAAAAAAAAAAATAAAAATAATAACATGTACTAAAATACCTGGGAAGAAGTTCATCAGCTGAAATTGTGAGAATTTCCTTAGGCTATTTGTGAGCGGAAGCTACGATCACAGTTTGTGTTCTGTGTACAATGTGGTCAAACTAAGTAAGGGGTCTCTCTTATGGCGGACATGAAATTGCCTTGGGTGTTTTTCGTGAACATTATATTGTTTGATAATTAGTGTCAGGTTCTGGCTCGTTCTCTGAGTTCCTGGTGTTGTAAAATAGCGCTTTGGATGCCGAATTTCAGGACCCATTGAAATTCTGCAGTCAAGTTTTAGAAGAAATTCAAACGATGCCGAAATATTATTTCTTTTGCAAGTTCAGCAATATAGCTTAGAAATAACCAGTAACGATAATAAAAGAAAAATCCTTGTATTTCCCTTTTCATTCATTGCCCTACCAAGCATGTTTCACTCGTGCGACGTAACTTCGCAGACGCAACAAAGTATGGTGTCTTCTGTATCAAGGCAAATATTTCAAAGCTTCAGCACATGCAAGCAAGTTCTTGCAGTATTGCTTTGACGCTTATGAGAACGAACAAGATTTATTGAGAGTACAAATGCGGCAATATTTTCATCTAAAAGTGTGTACTGGGCCTAGTTGTTGAAACGGGTGACAACACTATCCAGCGGATAAAATCGATATCCAGCGGAAAAGTGTTTACGAAACTTACTAAACAGAAGTACTCTTTGAACAACTGCGGTCTGATCTGCTCGCGCGTGTTTCTTGCATTTCTTTCGAGCGTGCGCAACGCAAGGTACTTCTTCCGTGTTCACTTCAGTGAAAGCCCAAATGATCTTATGAGGTGACCTTTTGACTGCGATATTCAAGCGCCTATAACTTGAACGTTTTAATCGTGGATGATGCGATTTTCCAAAAAACGCATTACATGAAATTTCAGAGGAGTACCATCTGTTTCTTTGATAATTTACGTCGTATCTCTTCGAACGGTCTTAATTAATTTTTTTTGTTTGTTTTTGTCATTATTTCATTTGAATTTTTTATTTAGTGTGGAGCGAAGGAAACTGGAAACTATAGACGCAGCACTCATGAAAACGAGGCTATTAACAGTGGTCTTCCCTTCTCATCTTCCATCATGGCTTTCTTGAAGGACACGTGTCGTTCTGTAGGATTTTTCATTTCTACTTTGGTTGTTTTGCTGGCCTGCTTTGATCTGACCGAAGCAGGAGGGAAAACTCTTGTCCTTCTTGATAATGCCAACACAAAAGAGACACATTCCATCTTTTTTAACTCTCTGAAAGGTAAGACCAAACTTCATTTGCAAGCAGGGGTTTTTAACAAAGACTTACTTTGGAAGTGTTAAAAATGTTGGGTTTTGGGCACAAAGAGATGAAGTGTATACTATGGGGACACTGGATTGGTTTATATTTTAAGGAAATTCTAGTGTGTAATTTAGATCGATAAATCTAAAATTTGCCAGCTAAACCATCCACCGAGCCCTGTGAATCGATTCAGCTCTAGGATTGCAGAGAGGATAGGCTGAGTGTGCCTGTGCACAAAATTGCATCATAAATCTAATTTAAGTCCTTTATTAGCTAGATATATGGAGTGTACTTTATTTGTAATGAATCTAAAGAAAGGAAAACATTGATTTGCAGGATATGGCCTTTTTGTGTTGTGTTGAGTTGAGAACAATAAACCAAAGATTTTGTTTAACCCTTTGACTCCTAACATTGATTAGCACCTAATTTCTCCTAACATATCACTCCTGAATCACACATCAAAGTTATGGGAATAATGGAAGTTCTTGATTGTTAAACAAATTCTCCTTGCTAGCACCTTAGGAAATGTATAGAGAACAGTATGGAGAATATGCACACTTATTTTAAGGTGTAGAGGGTTGAACAATATTGTACAGAAAATGAAAAACCTTGATTTTATGATATTCATTTTTTGTGATACTGACTTACAGTGCAGTACTTGGGCACTTAAACTCTTTGACATGTAAAAGTGACCAGCATCTAATTTCTCCTTTCAATATCTCCCCTCTCCTACAAATTATGGGCAAGAGAATACAGGAAATTATCACAAACTAAAGGAGCTCTTGATTGTTAAACAAATTCTCCTTGTGAGCATCATAGAAAATGTATAGAAAACAGTATGGAGAACAAGCATACTGATGTTAGGGTGTAAAGGGCTATGGCTGATAAATTTCAATTATATTCCTTGATTTTACCAATGTCTATTACCTTGTATCATATGTAAAAAATGTGGAACCTCTTGAAATTTGACTGTCTCCTTAAGAACACAATGTAAAGCCTAAACTTGCTTTTGGTATTATATCTTTTTGCTAGAAAGAGGATTTGATCTGGTATTCCGCTCTGCTGATGACTCAAGCCTCTCTCTTGTAAAATACGGAGAATTTCTCTATCAGCATCTTGTGATATTTTCACCATCTGTTGAAGGTTTGTTTACTTCCAACTGCAGAATACAACAATACTAACTTGACAAGTGTTTCACAACACTTGAGCTTTTTATGTTTTCCTATGTTTCCCCCCATGATAATGGCTAAAAAAAACCAATAGGAAATAAACCAATTTTAGAGTTAACTTTTGAGGAAAAGAAATCAAGGATAACAGTCTTCCATAAATGCCTTTGTGCTTCTTTGATACTGGTTCATTAGGACTATATTACCAGAATAATTTTTACAGATAGAGTAATAAATATTTTTTTGCTCCATTTTGGATTTATGTCTATCTTGCCTTGTCACTTAATTCAGAATTTGGTGGTTCGCTGAATGTCAGAGCAATCACTGACTTTATTGATGGAGGAGGAAATGTTCTTGTGGCAACAAATTCTGCAATTGGTAAGTGAGCTGCTCACCCTTTGTTTCAAGTTTGAATAATTATTTAAGTTTTTTTGTTTGTCCTAGTACTAATACAAGCATGAGAACACTAATGTCATTCCTTTTGTTAATTATTGCAGGTGATCCCATCCGTGAGCTTGGAAGTGAATGTGGAGTGGAATTTGATGAAGAGAAAACTTCTGTTATTGATCACATCAACCATGATGTTTCTGATTTGGATCAGGTATTTTCTCACCCTTTTAAGTAGTTACTGTCAATTTTTGCTGGATAATGAGGATCATTAAACTGCACTTAAATATTGAATCCTTTACTCCCTAAGATCAGTATGAATATTCTCTACTCTATACTAAACATTCATCTTTTCAGTGTCACTGACAAGGAGAATTTGTTTGACCATCAAGAAGTTCTCTAGTTGACAATTATTTCCTGTATTCTATCGACCTTAATGTTTAATTGAATGATAACACTGTGAGGAGAAATCTATTAGATTAAAGATTGGTCAGCCATCCTCCCTTTTTCAGAGGCATTTTGTGATCTTTCATCGGTGAGACTGGCAAAGAAATGAAGGATCTTAAGTAGCTGTTGTGTCCTTAAACACAGTGTGAATAAAGAGTCACAAAATAAACTGAGAAGATCTAGAAAAGACGAAGATTACTGTTTTTGTGGATGGAAAAAACCAAGAGCAGCTTAAGTTTCACCTGTTTTCATCTGCTTTACCTCTTCGGTGTACTTCCCTCACAATCATTCCTTCTGATGATATTTTCTATTTCTTCCCTTCATTCCCATTTCAAATCAGCAATTTCAGGTTGCTCAGATGACAATCAACAGAAAGCAAGGAGAAATAACCTTATTGATAAAAACTATAACAAAATTCTTGAATGTGATTGGTTATCACCAGCCCGATTTTAGCACTAATAGGACAGTATATGCATCATGCTTGTAACTGGGCTGTGTAATAGGACATTTAAAGGGAAAGTTAACATGTCATGCCTGTGTGAATGGACAGAATGCGTCATGTGGGTGGGCTGTTTTCTGGCATTTCACCAAGTTAACTGTTGTTTTCTTATGAAAACGTAAAACCCATATCTAGTTTCTTTCTCAAATTTTGTCATAGTTGTGATTAGGTAACAGGACTTCGTGTTATCCAATTCTTTCTGTAATCATACTCATGGTTAACAAATTGGTAATTGTGAAGAAGAGCTCCCCAAAAAACCTGTCGGCCGACTGTCGGT